TTCAGGTCCCTACTTAACTGTCACCTCCTCATAGCAGTTTTTTCTGACCACTCTATGGAAAATGCTCTCTTGTCCCTCTCCCCTGCCTCATCTTCCTGCCTGGCAGCCTCTTATTCCCAATGTCATGTTCTGTTTATTTGTTCACTGTTTGTTTTCTCCCCTACAAGTCATGGATTTTTTCTGTTTTGCTCACTGCTGTATCCACAGTGCTAGAACCATGCTTAATAGTAACAATAGTGATTTTATGTTACATTATATTAATATACAAGTATCATAAGGATGATGATGATAATGATTATTATAATTATTACAAGAGCCTGGAGGCACATTCAAGCCCTCAGCCCCAGCCCTGAGATCACCCCCTAACTCTGGCCCTCCCTTTCTCTGGATCCCAGCATGCACCGCCCCTGGGCCAACATGGGTTATCCTAGAAGATGGTTCTCATAGGCTCTTAGAATCTGGTGCATATTTTAGCTGGATCACAGAGAGGAAATTCAAGAAATCTGCTGGGAAAGCTCACCAGGCTAAAAGACCTAATGCAAGCAAGGGAGCTTTTTTGAAAATGTATGTGTGAGGGGGTGGAATGAAGAGGATTTGAGCTGGGAATACTGTAATCTTGATTTGATGAGGGGCCCACACTTCGCGAGAGAAAGCAGAGAGAGGTCAGGTTGGAAAGCTTCCCAAAAGTGGCAACCTACAGGATTTATGGGCACCAGGAGTGACTGGCCTCATTGACTATCACTGGGAGAAACCTCCCTCCAAGACCCGGCGAGGGCAGGATTCTCTCCTCCGGAGTTTACTATTTACCTGTCTACACTGGTGAATAAGACTTCTTTGTTCTCGCTTCCTTCCCAGCACTGCAGACTGATGCAACCTTCTTTCTCCCTTCTTCTTATTTTTTTTTAGAAAGAGTCGCACTCTCTGGCTTTCATTAGAGTTACAGCTGCTGTCCAAGTGGCGGGCTCCATTTCCAACCCAGGACAGTCAATGCACACGTTCACTTATTCAAATATTAACAAATAATTACTAAATGTCTCTCTGTGGGGAACACCTTATAGGTTCTGGGGATATGATGGTGAACAAGACAGAGAAGGTGCGTGCGCTTGGGGAGCTTATGCTATCACAGGGAATACAGTTTGAGATAGTGGAAGTCCTATCTTTAAACCCCTTTGAGAGTTGTTTGTTATGCGGTGAATGCCAACGGGTACAATAATAAACCAATGTGATGTGATAGTGATTTTTGTAAGTGTGTGGGAGGGAAAAACTACTTTAGATAGATGGAGTTTGGTACAACTTCTTAGGGGAGGTGACGTTTGGACCAAGGCCTGAATGACAAGGAGGAACCACATGAGGGGCACAGAGAACAGCAAGCGCAAACATCCTAAGGTAAGAATCCTGGAAGGGCACAGCTGAGAAAGACCTAAATGAGCGTGGAAATGCTTCACTTCTTAAGCGTGGGGGAGGGAGGAAGGGGGATGGGCAGACTGGCACGAAGGTGCTCATTCCATTATTCTTTATGCCTTTGTTCCTATGTCTACATATTTAATAATGACAGTTTTCAAAACCTATGAGAGTAATTACTTAAATCAAGAATATAGTACCTACTCATTTGGATAAATATTTCAATCAAATAAAGAGGGATTATGAAGCAAAACTGAAGGAACAAAATGGCAGCAGACTCAGAGACTCCAAGAAGGAACTAGTGGTTACCAAAGGGGAGGGGTGTGGGAGGGGGGGTGGAGAGGGAGGGAGAAGGGGACTGAGGGGTATTATGTTTAGTACACATGGTGTGGGGATCACGGGGAGAACAGTGTAGCACACAGACGGGACAGAGTAGGTCTCTAGCAACTTGCTGCACTGATGGACAGTGACTGCACTGGGGTGTGGGTGGGGACTTGGTAATGTGGGTGAATGTAGTAACCACATTGTTTTTTCATGTGAAACAGTCATAAGAGTGTATATCAATCATACCTTAGTAAAAAATTTAAAAAAATAAAAATAAATAATTAAATAGAATAAAGAAGGATTGGGAGCCTCTTTCTTCCCAGTTAATGGTGGGCATTTTACAAAAGTTATAGAATGGGATACATTTTATGAGAACAATAAAATCCTGTAGGGATGCAGTTGTCTCTTCCCGTAAACCATGCTAGCAAAAAAAATAAAATAAAATGCCAAAGACAAAACGCATTTTCTTCCTCTCCTTTTTAAAAATTTTAATTATGCAAAGTTAAAAAATGTACACAATAGTAGAGGGAATAGTCTAATGAGCCTCCAGCTATAACAATTATCAACTCAAAGCCAATCTTGTCTCATCTATCCCCACTACCTTCTTTTTAACCCTGGAGTATTTTAGCAGTCATTTTATTTTAAAAAAAAAAGAGAGAGAGAGAGAAATTATGGCTACTTGAAAGTAGTCTATGTATTTTTTTATATTCTATGAGATGGGGAGATGTATGTGTCAACTCATGCCGGATGCTGAGGTTGGCAACCTGGGGATTAAAAGTGGGGGAAAGAGGTGTAATTGGGGAGTGAGGGGGAGGGAGAAATACAAACTTAAGAAGCTCCGGAGTGAGAAGGGGCTCCCACAGCACAAACCAGATAGAACAACCAGGTGACCCACACAGGACCACAGTGCGTTATTACAACTTACTGAGGAGAGGGAATTAGGTGGGAGCCCAGAGCCCCCTGTACGGTCTCCATGTTTAGTTTTTATGGAGAGATTGTGGGTTCTCAAAAAACACAAGAAGACAAAATAAAAAGCCAAAGGTGAAACAGAGAGAAGGGTGGAAAGGTAACCCCAGACCCAAAAGTGCAGAGATGGATGGAAGGGTTGAGGCAGCAGAGAGAGGTTGTCATGGAAACCCTGGGGCTGAAGTGTTGTCATGGCAACCAGCGCAGCAATCGCGTCAAGGATGCATCAAAACTATTTTTAGATCCAGTGGTGAGCAGTGTGGTCCTTGATAGGAGAAGGAGCAGGCAGCTGACTCCGCTTAACACACACACACACACACACACACACACACACACATATATATATATGCACATGCATATAGATGTACATATACACAGACAATTGTACTTAATAAATATATATTTATATATGCCTTATTTTATATATATATATATATATAAGAAAATTTTTATCTCTTTTGAATATCTGTTTATCTCTTAAGTATTTGCGGTTGCTTAATTAACTCAACAATCTGATATGCTCATGAGCATCTGTGCGGTAAAAACAGGCCTGGGTTGTCCAAATCCTGCATATTCCCAAGAAATGACTGGCCCTCATCTGGATCCTAGATTACCTCTAAGCCCTTGGAATATCCTATACTAAAAATGCATTTATGGAGGGGGCTTTGGGCCCACACAGTATCACTGTGACCTCTGGAGGGGCTGGTCAGCTGCACAGGTGCTCCATGCCTACGTGACTGACCCAGAATAAAATTCCTGCACACCAAGGCTCAGGTGAGCTTCCCTGGCTGGCAGTGCTGTCTGTGTTGTCACACTGCTTCTGGGAAAAGTACGTGCTGTCCATATGACTCCACTGGCAGAGACAACTGGAAGTTTATACTTGGTCTCTCCTGGACTCTGTCCTTTGCACTTTTTTCCTTGGCTGATTTTTAATCTGCATCCTTTTGTAGTAATAAATTACAACCATGAGTGCACTAGTTTTTCTGAGGTCCATGAATCCTTCTGGAAAATCATTGAACCTGAGGATGCTCTTGGGAATCTCAACATAGCATCTTTTAAACTCAATATGGCCCAAACTAAACTTCTGATTCGTCCGCTCTCTCTCCTCCCCAGATCTGTTCTCCATCAAACCTTCCGCATGTAAAAATAAGTGGCATCACCTTCCTTCTAGTTGTTCATTCCAGAAATCCCGGAGTCACACTTGCTTCAATTCCCTTGCACCTCACATTCAATTCCTCAGCAAAACAGTAAAGCCTATTATTGCAGTATGAAATATTTACAGAAAAGTGCACATATCATGGGCATAAAGCATGCTGAGTTTTCATAAACTCAACACACATGTAGCCAACACGCACAATAAAAACTTTACCAGCTCTCCCACCCACTGGGTGTCCCAGGCTTCAAGGCCCTTGACATTCCATGGGACCCCACCATCCACATTCCCAACAGCATAGATTAATTTTGCCTATTTTTGTACTTCGTATAAATGGGATCACACCATACATACACTTGTGTCTGGTTTCTTTTGCTTTACATTATACTTACAAGATTCATCTCTATCATGTGTGGTTGTACATCTTTCTAATTGTTTTATTTTTTATTGTGTGAACATACCAAAATCTGTTCTCTCTTCTGTTGAGCGGATTTGGGTAGCTTCTAGATTTGGGCTATTGTGAATAGTGCTGCAATGAATATTCTTGCCTGTGGCTTTTAGTGAACACATTTCTGTTAGGGCTATATATCTAGGAGTGGAGTTCCTAAGTGGTAGGGATTGTATGTTTTGCTGTAGTAGATACAGCCAGAGTTTTCCAAGATGGTGGTACTAAATGACAGTGCCACCAGTCATGTGTATGTATGAGAGTTCTATTTGCTCTTTTCATCAACCCCTGGTGTTCCTTTTCACTTTCTCATTTTATCCATTCTCAACCATTCTCAAATTTACAATAGCATCCTGTGCTAGCACTCGAGTTGAATCCAAATTGCTAGAATCTTCTACCAAGAATATCCAATTTGGTAGCAGTTATGCCATACCCTCTTGTTATTTTCATCAGCCCAATGGTTCAACCCTCCCAGGACAAACTCCAGGTCACTGGGAAGATGATAAAAAGCGGAATGCTGCTCAGCAGTGGGAAGGCCCTCTTGCCTCTGAAATAATAACAACAGCTGACAATGCGTCAGAACCAAATACACATTTTGGCACATCTTCAAATGGGTATTTGGTCATAGGCAAAATCACCATCATAGAACGAACTTTAGGGAATATAAAAATAAACCTGAAATTCTATCAAAACCTTTAGATGTGTATCACAATTTTATTTTTAAAAACTTTGGTAGCCGGGAAAATTCCATAGCGCAGTCAGCTACAAGCTTGCTCCTCGGCGACCCCACTGCCCGTATATGATACTAGGCGGCTGATGAAGGACCAAGACATTTTTGACCAGCTCTGCTGATGGCGGCATATCAAGCTTTCCTTCCTCACTAAAAGTAATTGACTAAAGCACAAGATTTGTCTCCTCTTCACCTCACAAGCTGGAGGGTCTGGTTGACGGTCACGATGCTCTCTCATGGAAACAATCGCAGGAAGTGAAACTTGGTGCGCTGCTTGGAAAAGCCGCTTTGGGGAATGTTGTCCGGGGTAGACGGAAGGTTGTCGGTCTCAGTTTTCTCTGGCAGTAATGCTCTGTCAGTCATCAATCCCCGTCGCATTCTCCCTTTGCAGTATCTTCCAGTTATCTATTGCCGCATGATAAGCCACCCTAAAACCCAGTGGCGTAGAACCTTACCCATCTCTGCTGTACTCATAGACTCAAAGGATCAGGGGTTCACACAGCGTAGGGCAGCAATGGCTTCTGCTACGCTATGGCTGCGCCCCAACGGGGAAGACGTGAACGCTTGGGGAGTGAATTGCCTGTGGGCAGCAAGTTGAGGAAACCAGCAAGGAAAAAACTAAACTGAGGCTTGGACAGCTGCGGTTCGGGAGGAAGTTTTTAGAAGCTTCTGGAAATTTTTGGAACCAGGGAAGTGCAGCTGAAGGAGAAGGCTCCCGACAGTGGCGTTGTTAGAGAAACCCAGAGGTATTAAAATTGCTCTTTTCTTTCGTCCTTTGACTTCTGGTGTTTCCCAGGAGTTCTGTTGGTCGAACCCAACAAAAAGGCAGATGATGGGAGGAGGCGCCAGTGGCGCAGCCATAGAAGTCAGGGCACGCCACCCCCGCCCCCGAGGCCCACGTTGAGTAGAGAAGGGGAGACAGAGCGGGTCTGGAGGGGCATCGAAGAATCGCAGACCCCTTGCCTGGTGAACAACGGCACGCCGACTCCCCCGGCCCAGTCGCACTGCCCACCCGCTAGCAAGTCAGGGCCCGTTGCCGTGGAGACCGCGGGCGCGGCGGGGCGGGGCGCGGAGGGAGCGAATGCGCAAGCGCGCGCTGCGACGCCGGCCTCGGCTCCGCGCAGCCGGCAGGATCGAGGCGAGGCGCCGCTCCACCCGCCCGGGCCGCAGCGGGGGTGCACGCCCGCCTCCTGGGGCCTTTACCGTCCGAGCAGCCAGGGGGGTCCGAGCCGGCTGCCAGATCCCTGCCGGCCGGGCGGCCAGCCAGACCCCGGCAGGGGCGGAGAGCGGTCGTCGGCTGTTCCAGGACACGTGTGAGCGCCCGGGGCCGGCTTGGGGAGGAGGGGCCTGGGAGAGCGCCAGGCCTCCTGGCCGGCCGCAGAGGGGACCGCTAAAGGCTCTGACCTTGGCCGTCTTCCGGGGACCCTGACCCCCCTTTCCTGTCACCTTACAGGAGTAGTATCTGGGGACCTCTGCAGCCCTCGGCCACCTCGTAGACTATTTACCACACGAGGGATTAGCGCCACCAGGTGTCCATGGCTATGGCGATTAACCTTCTGGAGGACTGGTGTCGGGGGATGGATGTGGACATCCACAGGTCCCTGTTGGTCACGGGCATCCCGGAGGATTGTGGCCAAGCGGAAATTGAGGAGACCTTGAATGGGGTCCTCGCCCCGCTGGGCCCATATCTCGTGCTTAACAAGATTTTTTTGAGGGAAGAGAATGCCAAAGCTGTGCTCATTGAGGTTGGCGAGGGTGTGAATCTGAGGGCCATACCCCAGGAATTCCCAGGAAAGGGGGGGCATTTGGAGAGTGGTCTGTAGAGACCCCATCCAGGATGCAGAATTTTTTAAAAATCTGAATGAATTCCTGGATGCTGAGGGGCGCACCTGGGAGGATGTGGTCCGCCTGCTGCAGCTCAACCACTCCCCACAGCCCCGGAACCAGACTCAGTCCCTAGAGAACTGGGCAGAAGCTTTTGGGGTGCTCCTGGGGGCAGTGGTGCAAATCATCTTCCATGTGGATGCAGAAATCCGCGGCCGGGAGGAAACGAGGGCTCAGGAAGCTGCTGAGGCCCAGGCGGTAGCAGCCTCAGCCTCAGGGAGGAAGGTCAAGGAGGGGCCAGGGCAGGCCGCAGACGGGGGCTCTGTCTTGAACATGGAGAATTCTGACAGCTGGGATGCCACGGAAGACGAGGGGGAGCCCCCCAAACCTTTGGTTCACAAGGCTGGAGCTACAACCCACTGTAGGAGAAAGAAGCAGAGGAAAAACTCCAAGCAGGAGCCAGTGCCCCGGAAGAAACCCAAAGGCCACCTTTCTGACACCTTGGCCTCCTTGGAAGATCCTGAGGCAGAAGATGCTGAAAATACAGAAATCTCAGAATCTATCAGGGGCAGCAGAAAGACCCGTGTGAAGCAGGAGGAGTCCGCTTTGAAGAAGCCCAGGGCAGAATGTGCCCGGACACCTCCCAGCAGCCCGTCCCTTGATGCCCAGTCAGCAGTTCAGAGCCCTGGGGTTGCTTCTGGGTCAGACCAAGATGGTGCTCAGGAGGGCCCTCCAACGAAGAAGGCCGTGGGTTGGGCCTTGGCAAGGAGCCCTGCCCCCCTGAGGAAGAAAAAGAAAGTGAGCTTGGGCCCTGTGTCTTACGTCCTTGTTGATGCAGAAGATTCCAGGGCGACGATCCTAAGGAAAGGGCCAGGCGCGAGAAGGGATGCATCAGTTCAGAAGGCGCTTCGAGGCCCACAGTGCATGGGGTCGCCAGCGTCGACGTCACGGGGTCCCAAGGCCAAGCCAGAAGGCTGTCCTCATGCCTCCAAAGGTGAGAGTGAGAAAAGAGGTCATCCGGGTCATGTCAGTGGGTGGATGGGGGGAGGAGGAGGAGTGGCAGGTGGGGGTGCAAAGGAGCCCAGGGCGGAGCTTGTCAAATGGTTGATGAGAAGGACTCCAGGGCAGTGGAGGGGGCATAGACACACGGAGAGGTTTTAGAGGGTGAGAGCCCGAGCCCCCTAGAAGCCCCTGAAGGCCAGTCATGGGGACACGTGGGGCAGGACGCAGGAAAGCAGACCCACTGGCTTACGCTTTGTTGATGAGTGTCGCTGTGCCATCCCCAAGGCCTTCTGTCACTCCGTCTGACCCTGCTCACCCAGAAAGAATTGAATGGTTTGGGGTTACTGTGTATGTCAGGAGAAGGAGCTTTGAGGGTGGAGTTTTCTGGAGGCCTGGTTGGGGGATAGAAATGTTCACACAGTCCAAGGAAGTCAAGAAAATTTCCAAATACTGCCTCCCCCTGCTTTCTCTCTTGAGCTGTTCTGATTTATCCACAGAAGCCAGGAAGCTTTGATTTGGAGGACCCCCCCATACCTGCAGAGTCGAAGGTGCAGGAAGAAGCTCCAAGTGGGGAACAATATTTTCTCTTGTCCTTGATTGAACCAAGACTTTTGAGTCTTTGGGGGACCCAGTTTGTGGAGATGGGGCTCTCAGAGGTAAATTGATATCTGAGGTGGGTGGAATTGAGGGAGAGAGGTGTATCTCTGTGTTTCTTTTCTGCCAGGCCTGTTTTTCACCTCCTCGTAGATTCATCTTCAGAGGTTGGGGGTCACTAAGCAGATTGGGAGAATTCTAGAACTTTTACCTTTACACATGGGCTAGGGCCACTGTTGTGCCCTTCTTGCCCATCCCTTCTTCCTCTCCTGGATGGTCAGCTGACCTCGGCAGGGCCTGTGTGCTAAAGAGACCTCGGCAGGGCCTGTGTGCTAAAGAGCAGGGCGGCGGTTTTCCCCTTCTCCCTTCTCTGTGCTTCGACCCCGGCTAAGTTAAGCCCAGATCTTCGATGCAGACCGAGCTTCCTTGCCCCTCCAGCTGTCTAACTAGAGGGTGGTAGGGTCCCAAGAGTTAGTTTGGGGGAAAAGAATGTCCACTGAGACCTTGAAGTATTTGACGTTTAGGTTCTGTTAATTAAAATGGTACTTGGATTCCCACCTGGGGTAAAGGCCTCTCAGAAAGCCTGCAGGAAAGGGGGGTGATTGGAGGGGCATGATTCAGGCATTCTGGGCTTCCCAGCGGTCATCCCCTCCAGTGCCGCCAAACCTTCACTTTGAACATCTTTGAGGCTGACAATGAAGACCTTTCTCACATTGTAGTAAGAAAGGGGGAAAAAAAATCTGAAAATAATTGTTGTTAATTCTGTGCTCCGAGTAGACCAGAATACCCTGTCTCCTGTGTGTGTAGGTGGGGGCAGGATGCCTGAAGATCGGTGGTCGCCAGACTACCCCGGGGAGGCCCAGGGCGCGCTCAAAGCGGCAGTCTGAGTCTGTTTTTTCATGTGTGTTAAGGAAAAAAACTGAAAAATGTCTACTTGAATACACTGTCGGCCAAACCAGTCGCAGAGGAGACTATCAAAACATTACCTTGTGTTCATTAGTTAGCTTGTTTTTGTACAGGTCTCCAGGAGCTGTTTCTGCTATATATTTGCATATAATTGAATTTCTTATAAATGTGACTGACGAGAAGGGTGACAAGTGGGAGAATCCCTTCCTGCGCATGCCCTGTAATACAACACTCTGAAAGCCGTTTCCCTCTGTAATTCACAGGCTCTTGATGGGCTGTGATTTTCAAGCATGTGACAGCAAGTAAATAAATATATTAACGTGGCACACAGTGATAATATTCTAGCCCTTTACATTTTTAGGGTCTTTTACAACTTCAGTTTTTGTGATAAAAAAAAATGTGCACTGTTGTTAGATTCAACTTTGAAAACAAATTTCTTGTGACAATTCAGTTCAAAGTCCCAGATGAGTCTAACTGAAGATGCAGGGGAAAAAAACATAAAAAGGTTTCCATTTGTATCTATTCATCTGTGTGCATCAAGGTTTTCCCGGGATGTATGCAAAACAAAACGCAGGAATGAACTGGATCCTCGAGCCTGCAACGCTCTGAAACCTGACTTCAAAATCAGATCCATTAGGGCTTCGTTGTGTTAACAGATGGACACCGGGATCAGTAAATGTAAAATGTGTTACCAAATAAAGCTTAGCAAACTCAGTTATCTGTTGAGTCTTACAGGTGGTGATGGCGTGGACTATTTAATTTGAGAGGAGGGTTCCCTTGATGGACAGTCCACACCGTCCTAGACTCCTAGCTTGGTGGGAGCTGTTGTCAGTCCTGCTAGGATTGTCAGTTTTCCATGAGAGAAGAAGCTATTAGACGTCTGTCCTCTTTGCCATTCATATGGCCTTCCACCAGTGTGAAAGGATCTCCCGCTGATCTTGGGGTTTCTAGGAGTTTCTAGAACAGGTACCAACTGGTGATGTGATTTATCTGAAAATGCTAGGTTTTTTTTTTTTGGTATCATTAATCTACAATTACAGAAAGAACATTATGTTTACTAGGTTCCCCCCCTCACCAAGTCCCCCCCACATACCCCTTCACAGTCACTGTCCATCTGCATAGTAAGATGCTGTAAAATCACTACTTGTCTTCTCTGCTAGTTTATTTTTAAAAGCAGCTGGAAAGGTGAAAATGAGTTTATTTTTAAAAGCTGGAAGGTGAAACCCTTTCCTTTCCTTCCCTTCCCTCAGACTGAAGCTGAGGTCTTTCAGCTGAAAGTTTGAGTTTTCTCCTGCCCAAGCCTCTCCGCTGCCAGGGACTCCTGAACCACGGTGGGCCCTGCGTCAGCGTCACCTAGGGTTTTTGGAGAAAGGCCATTTCTTGGCCCCACCTGTTGAGTTGGTGGGTTGCGTCCTTGGGGTTTGTATCTGTACTGGGAATCTGTGTCTTAAACATTTCTCCGGAGAATGCTAAGGCACGTGTAGTTGGGACAGCTCTAGATGGGATGGTCCACCCTCGAGGAAAGGGACCTAGGGCCCTCGGGGGTCAAGGTTGGGCTTTGTGAAAGGTGAATGGAGATTGTCAGGGAGGGAAGGAAGGGGAAGATGAACTTTGGGGACAGGAGCAAATGAGGCCCTGGGTTACACGTGCATAAAGACCCTGCTGAAAGGGCCCTTCCCCTGCCCCCTCTGGCGAGAAGCCATGTTTAACCGAGACTCTTAAGTGCCTCCCAAGATGCGACCTCTCTGGTTACCCTCTGGTCCATTGGTAAAGTCTGAAAGGCTTACATGGCCCGTGATGGCGGGGGCAGAGATCAGGGCTGGGGCCATGTGGGGCGCAGGGAGTCGACGGTGTCCAGCGAAGCCTCCGTGGAGACCACCTCTAGGACGGCGGCAGCCTGCTGTTCAGGGCTGGGCCTCGGAGTGAGACCAGCCAGAGGCGCCTCTGGGAGCTGGGAGCGATGCTGAGCAGCAGCTGTGTGCCCCTCCGGGAGGGCCTGAAGGTAAAGCCCCCCGTTCATCCCTGCTTTCGCTCAGCCCGGGTTTATGGAGCAGCTGCGTGTGGCAGCCAGGCAGGAGACAGATTCCTGCCCTCCTGAGGCTGACATTCTAGTGGGGAGACGGGCATCTGTACAGAGATCCGGGAGTCTGTGTAAGGGGTGGGAGTGCAGAGGTGAGTAGTGTGTGGGGGAGAGTGGGCCGCGTCACACAGCGGCCAGGGAGGGCTTCTCTGCGGAGGTGACCTGTGCACAGACCTGACACAGACTAGGGACAGACAAGCAGGGGGCCGGCGGAGCCGCATTCCAGGCAAAGGGAGGCAAGAGGACGCCAACACGGGTGGGCTTTCTGACGGGCCCCGTCCCCGTCCCCGTCCCCGTCCCCGTCCCAGAGAAGGCTGCTCATCTTCCCTGCACCACACGTCACGTATTGTGTTAAATGCCATGAATTAGTAAATGGGTATCTTTGTTCTACCTTGATTTTTTTTTAAGAACTGTGGTATAAAATACACATAAAATGTATCATTTTAACCATTTCTAGGTGTACAATTCAGTGGTATTATAAGTACATTCACATTGTTGTGCAGCTGTCACTACCATCTATCCACAGAGTTCTTCATCTTGTAAAACTGAAACTAGTACAGTAACAGTAACTTTCCCCTCCCTTCCTCCCAGCCCCTGGCAGCCGCCATCCTGCTCTCTGTCAACCTGGCTACCCCAGGGACCTCCTGTAACTGCGATCATACATTGATTGTCTTCTGGGGACTGGCTTGTTTCACTCAGATACTGTCTTCAAGGTTCTTCTTTGTAGCATGTGTCGGGACTCCTTTCCTTTTTAAGGTTGAATAACATCCCATCGTATAGAAATACACTGCGTTTCGTTCCCCCATCCGTCCGGCAATGGACATTTGGGTTGCTTCCACTTTTCGGCTATTTCAAGTAGTGGTGCTATGAACACGGGTGTGCATATGTAACTCTGAGTCTCTGCTCTCAGTTCTTTTGGGTATATACCCAGGTAGGGAATTACTGGGTACTCCTTAACTTTTTGAGGAAATGCCATACTGTTTTTCATCGTACTGCCTTGATTAAAATCCCAGCCCGAGTGTTCTCTCCGCAGTGCAAAACTGTAGAGGCAGGGGAGCTCGACCACACGGCAGGAACTTCCCCAGCCCATCTGCCCCCCGTCCACTCCAGTTTCACTGTCATAATTATGAGTGAACCTGGAACAAATTTTGCCGGCATAATCTGACATGTGGTAGATAACTTTTGTGCTTATTGTAAGCTGGGGTGTTCTCTTAACACCTCTTTGTGGGAAAGAATGTGAGCAGTTGTTAGTGTTAAAAATTCAGTGCTGAAACAAAAATCTACCACTGTTTTTCCAAACCTTAGGATCGTTTTAATTGGAGCCTGTGACTGTTTAATTCCTGTGACTGCAGGGCGAATGGTTTAATATCCTTACATCTACAATAGACAAGAAGAGGGGATGGGCCTTGTGGGTTATTAAAAGACATTACAAAAATATGAATCCATAATAACAACAGAACAGAAGAGCAAATCTGGAAATAGGCATGTAGATTTGGGGAATTTCATTTGGGGATTTCGCAAATCACTGGAAAAAAAATTATTGAACAGGTCATGCTGTGGCAGTGGAGTAATGAGGGACTAGTTTTTCTTGTGAAAGATTAATTCCAGATAGACCAAAGACACAGTATAAAAATATAATCCTAAATTTTAGAAAAAAGTACAGGTGAACTCATCCATCATTCTCATGTGAAAAAGGCCTTCCTACACAGGATACAAAACCCAAGGGGCCAACCCAAGGAAGGAATTAATTCATTTGTAAACATAAAAATTAAGAACTACCATGCGGCAATTACTTTAACTAAAAAGACAGATAATATGCTTGCAAAACATTTCTAATACACATCATAGCAAAGAGCAATATTTTAACTTTAAGAGATGATTCAAATTAATAAGCAAATGATGAACAATGTAACAGAGAAGTGGGTAGAGTATTCCGAATAGGCAATTTGCTGGGGACAAAAATAGCACCAATGACTGAGAAATCATGTGAAAAGCAAGCTTACCGCCCTCCTACTGCAAAGCAAATCAGAACAAGTTAGCATTTGCCACCTGGTGGGCAAATCTTTTTACATTGTACAGCCTCCCTGCTGGTACAAGTACCAGGAAAAGGCAGCTTCGGATTCGCTTAAATTGATGTCAGCTTTCTGGAATTTCCATTGGTGTTTGACAATTACAACTACTATTTTCAAAGAACACTGGTGAGCCTGTATCCTTTTTACAAACTATCAATTTGGTGGTAGGCTTGTGAGCCACATATTTTTTTGATTTCCTTTTTTATATTTCCCCCATGAAGAAAACGCAACACGGCAGACATTTATAAGCACCCAAACAAATGCGTGCTGTCATCCAAACATTAGCCCGTGTGGTCAGATTAACTCATCCCCCCACCGATAATGCAGTGATTTTTCTCTCCATCTCTGCTTATAGGTGTGCACTTTGCGAAAGAAGGGGACAGAGAAGGGGTGATGGGGAAGATCAGAGACTGTACTGAAGCTCACCACAGGCATGTCTAGGCCTGTGGAATTGCCCCCCAGGAGTCCCGGGTTACCCCGCACAGCTGAATGTGAGGCACAGCTTGCAGATGCGTTGAGTCCCCCCGCTCTTGTCCAGGCCTAGTGGCCTTGCAGTAGCAAGAGAATCCGGGGCAGGTCTCAGCCTGGCAACATGGTATCCATCATCCTAGTGTGCGCTGTTAAGATTGGGCGTTTCTCTGTGACGCCTGCAATTTTGATGAGGAAAGTAAAGGGTGGTTAGATAAACTTTCGACAGTGGTTTCATTGTAAGACCACATTTCCTGCGACTTCACTTTCAAGCCTCTGGCTCCATTTCGTGGAAGTACCTCCTGGGTTTGCAAAGCGAACTGTGGAAAATATTGTTACCATATGGTAAGATAAGAAAATTTCTGGAAAAAATTGTACGGGGTAGGGGTTACCACATAATCCCCCCCAAAATGTACACACACATAAAAAGGTAAGTATGCTTTACATATTTTAATTCATTTAGAAGTATAGAGTTTGTGCTTCTAGCCACTGAAAGTGGGAAAAAAAGATAAACTGCAACCTGGGAAAGATATTAACAGCTTATAAAACAGACATGGGCAAATTCTTTAATTTACCAAAAGCTAATACAAAATAAGAAAAAGACAGCCTGGCAGAAAATATATACAAAGGCCACGAATAGGCAGTTTAGAGAAAGAAAAATGGATAGTAAGTGTGTGAAAAGAATGATGCTGAACCCCATTCCTAATTTAAGAATTAAAATCTAAAGCAATGAATTATAGTTTCTCATCAATTAGAAATCTTAAAATTAGGTGACACCCCACTGCTGGTGAGGCTGTGGAGAAGTGGGCAATCTCATCCGCTATTGGGAAGAAGATGAATTTGTCCAATCTGGAAATTATTTAAATGCCTGTGATTTCAGGACTTAGTAAATCAATTATTGGACATCCTTATGATGAATTACCACATGCAGATGTGAAAGGATTTCTAAGCTATCTCATTAAGGACAAATTGAGAAGAATGCATCTTAAGATCATGTTTAAAGATGAAAAAGTGTATATAAAAATGCTGGTCTAAAAATGATCTGTTTTCTCTGAAGTAATAAGTAAACAAGAATAAACTGTCACTTGTTATTTTGGGGAGAGAGACTATGGGGGGGGTAGTGATAAGGAGAGTTTCAGTCTTCCTATTGCGCCTTCAAATACTCTTTGAATATTCCATCTGGGAACAACTGATTAATGAAAACTAACCAGGGTTAGTAACCACGTTGGAGAACCATTTGGAAGTTTCTTTAAAGTTAAGACACACCTCTGCTATATGATCTGAGCATTCCGCACCTAAATGATTACCCAAGAGAAGTGAAAACATGTTCACCAAAGACATGCACATGAATGTTCCTAGCAGCATCCTTGCGCATAAGATCCCAAATCTGAAAATAACCCAAATGTTGTGCCACCTTTTGTTTACCCAGCCATCAGTTGATGGACAAGTGAGAGTTATCTCCACTTAGGGGCTCTAAGGAATAACGCTGCATTGAATATTCACATACACGTGGACACTGATTCTCACGTCCCTTTGGGTAGATACCTAAGACTGGTACAACCATTTATTTATTTATGTATTTTGGTACATTCATTTAATGGACTATTTCTCAATAAGAAAAAGGAATGAAGTGCTGATACCTACAACAATATGGATGAATCTCAAAGGCTTTATGCTAAGGGGAAGAAATCAGGCACAAAATACACATACACACTTGTCTTAGGTGGTGATAGCAAATAGCATAGACTGGTGGCTTGTAAACAACAGAAAATTGTTTCTCACAGTTTTGTGGGCTGGAAGTTGTGTGATCAGGGTGACAGCCCGGTTCTGGGGAAGGTCCTCTCTCAGGTTGCAGGTAGTGACTTATTTTTGTATCCTCACGTGATGGAAAAAGCTAGGGAGCTCTCTGGGGTCTCTTTTATCAGGGCACTAATCATATGTGGGAGAGCCCTGCCCTCATGACATAACTACCTACCTCCCAGAGGCCCCCATCTCCTGCTGTCAGCATATTGAGGGTTAGGAATTAAGCATTTTTGGGGAGCAGGGCACAAACATTCAACCCATATCACTACTGGGATTCCATTTATAAGAAGTTTTACAACAGGAAAACTATAGTGAAAAAAATCAGAACTGTGCTTACTTCTGTGGGACGGACAGGGTTGGCTGCTAGGGGGCACAAGGGGACTTCATGGAGTGGTGGTTCCTTTTGCAACCTGTGACTTTGACCTTTCTGAGGGGAAGGTGCTTGGTTATTAGAGGATGTTAATGATTCAAGTGAATCAGACCCTCCATACGTGACTTGCATACATCCTGTGTCTGGGGTGGTGACTGCACAGGTGGTTGCTTCTGTCCAGACTCCCAGAATTATGCACTTAGGACATGTGCATGTCTCTGCACATAACTTATACCCCAATAAAAACAATTTTTAAAAGTAATCAAGGGTATGGGTGAATGTAGTAACCAGAATGTTGCTCACGTAAAACCTTCATAAGGTTGTATATCAATGATACCTTAATTTTTAAAAAAGTAACCAAGGGGCAGGTTTCTGTTCATCTTTGGAGTTCTGTGCACTGAATAATTAACAGTCCAAACCGTACTATGTTGGACATGAAAGCCGCATCACTGGTGTGGCCGGCTGGATGCATTTTGTGCACAATCACAGATCTTGCAGTAAACTGATGCTTCTGATGCAACGTGCTGTGGATGAACATTGTTGCAGCTCAGCAACTGTGGATGAAGATTGTTGAAGTCTGTGTTTAAGGTTCAGGCCTGAGCTGTCCATTCTTGGAAAACTGTGCATGTGATTCACATCTCAAATGTGTGGATGTCACATTCAGTTCAAGGTCAAGGGCTCAGTCTTAGCGGGGAGAACGCTTGGTCCATGGTGAGGGTGTAACAGATCTCCACCTGAGAGGAGCTACCGGAGAGGGTTTTCGTGTTGCAGCCTGTGACTTTGACCTTTCTGAGGGGAAGGTGCTTGGTTACTAGAGGATGTTAATGATTCAAGTGAATCAAACCCTCCATATTTGACTTGCAAACATCTGGATTGGTTTAACTGAACCGATCCTGACATTTAAAGCAAGGTATTTAGAATTTGCTACCCCCTGAGAATGGCCAGACCGCTCAGGACAAGAGAAGTGAACAGAGCGGGTTAGTCCTCGTGGGTAGTGGCGTGGATTATGAAGCTGCAGTGTCACCGTCGTAATAGAGAAATGGGCCAGCAAAACAGCTGGGCAGGAACACGAGGCCAGAAATAGAGCTTCATACACCTGGGAATTTAGACTCCAACTATGGTGCTATTCATTTCAAATTAGTAGGGAAGAAAAGGGGTTTTCTAAACAGCTGGTACTTAGAAAACTGATCAGCCATTTGGGAAAAAGGACTGAAATTGGGCTCTCCACCTCCTCCTTTGTATTCCCAAATACTTTTGGGGGAGATCAAAGACAAAAATGTAAAAACGACATCAAGAAACATACATTTAGATAACAACAGGAGTGTCAGTACAGCCTGGCGGACTGTAGTTAAGAATTCTGTATTGCATATTTGAAAATTCTAAGAGAGTAAATCTCTGAAATCCTCATCACGAGAAAAAAAAATGTAACTGTGTGTGGTGGTGGATGGTAGCTAGACTTTTTTGTGATGATCATATTGCAAATGTACACAAACTGTATTCCTGCAATCAACATGTTTATGTCTACTATACCTTAATCAAAAATACTTAAAAGGTGGGGGGTGGGAGAAAGGGGAGGGAGGGCTGTACAACACAGAGAGGACAAGTAGGGATTCTACAACATTTTGATATGCTGATGGACAGTGACTGTAATGTGGTTTTTAGGGGGGACCTGGTATAGGGGAGAGCATAGTAAACATAGTATTCTTCATATAAGTGTAAAGATTAAAAAAAAAAGAAAGAAAGAAAGAAA